GGACGGCGCGGGGGCGGCCGCCCTCAGAGGGCGGAGGGCCCTCTCTTGCCCCGCAGGCCCGAGGCCTGCCGGCTGAAGGGATTCCGCAGCCCCGAGACGCGCACCGGAGCTGGCATGAGGCTTCCCGCCTGCGCAGGGCGGGTTGTGCAGAAGACCAGCAGGCCGCCCTTCCCAGCCCCAGAGGCCTTTCCCGGACGCGAAGCCGGCCCCCTTCAAAGTGACCCATAAAGAGAGACCACGCAGTTGCTATTCCCCCCGCCACCCTCCGTGGTCTCTGGCCATTTCCTGCTGCTCTCCTCCCTTGAACGCTTGAAGCGGCTGGAGCAGACCCTAACCCTCGCCCTCCTCTGTAGAAAGGCCATCGCTCCCCTCTCCCTCGTGGGGGACTTGGCTGAAGATTGCAGTCAGAGTCAGTTGACCGGGTGGCCTATGAGCCCCAGAAATAAAGGAGTAAATTAAAGCTATCTGACGAGGTCCTCTCGTGTTTGTACAATGAATGGATAAACAAAATGTTTGCTTTGGGCTAGAAAGGTACTAGTGGTTCTGGCTGATGGCCCCCAGTGTCAAGGAGGTGGCTGGCTGGCTGGCTGGCTGGCTGACTGCAGGAACTGCGTGGCGGGATGCTGTTCGGGTGAGTCAGTCCCACGGCTGGCCTCGGCCAGCCAGGCCAGTTTCCTGCAGCCTCTGATGGGTTTTGAGAAAGCCACGCCAGCTGCAAGATCCTGCAGATCCTACTTTAAGTGGAGGAAGTAGATTTCTAACAGGACCTTATGCTTCCGACGCTGCCCTAGAGGAGGCAGGAGGCCTGCTTGTGCTGAAGGAAAGCCGTGATCTGAACTAGTTTTATCTATCGATCGATCTATCAAATTTGTCACTGCCCATCTCGTTAAAAAAGTGGGTCTGGGCGATTGCTGAAAGGACTTTCAAAGCCACCTCCCTCTCCTCTTGCTGAATCTTCTGCTTTTTCCTTCACACCTTTCAGGGCGCAAAAGTGGCCTTGACATTCCCTGCCCCACCGCCGTCTCAGGCCTCAGCCTGCCTCTCCCCATCTCGGCAGCTCTGCATCTGTTTTTTTTTCCAGCATGTCCAGTGATCCTCCTCCACCCTACCCTGGGGGGCCATCTGCACCACCCCTAGAAGAGAAGGATGGCTTCTCTTTCCCAGCAGGTAAGGCACCACTGGTGAGTGGATGGTGTGCACGCGCGTGGAGGGCCACAGCTTCCAAAGATCTCCCTCTTCGCTGAAGGTCCTGGCATGGGGGCCGGGTGGAGAGGAGCAAAGCATGCCTGTTTGTGACTCCTGCTTGGGCATGAACCCGGCCTGGGCCTTGCAGGTGCTCCTCGCCATCCCAGGAGCAGGGTTAGCCTCTGGGTCACAGTTCTGTGCATGCTGCGCCCCATTCTTCCAAATGTTCTGTGTCCTCCTCCAGGTAGGAGCTCTCCAGCCGTGGCACTGCCACCTTCCGATATTGGCCCCCCACCATATGAAGCAATGTTGCCACCCCAGCCGGGCTTCATCCCCCCACCTGTGCCAGCAGATAGCTCGATGCCCTACCTCCCCCCTGGTGAGTGGAGCGTGAAAGGAAGCCGGCAGGTACTCCATTTCAACCCCCCTATGGGAAAGGGTGTGCCAGCATAAAAGCTGCTCGGTGTTGGGAGTGGCGTACAAACCACGTATGGCAGAAGAGAACGTCCTGTTTGCATAAAAGGATCTTATCCCTCCTTATCCTTATCCTGAAATATCAAGGCAGTATATAAATTTCCGGTTCAAGCAATACGAGCCACAAGAAAAATAGTTAAGTCATTCAGCAGGGCAGATGATCATCTGCAGCCCATGTTTTTAACCCCTAATAGATTTCTCAAACTCCAGAGAACAGAAAGGTGACAGTCCTCCTCCTGGAGGAGAAAGAAGGCGAGGGGCTGGTCTGAGCAGAACAGCAGGTGTATTCTCCGCATGGGATCCCTGGGTTCTGCCCTGCCCTAAACCGGACTTTGGCAACAAGGCCGTGAAACTGAGTGCGGCCACTGGCCAGGACGTGCTCCGCCAGGCGGTTGCTTTCCTTTGGCCCAAGGCAGCTCCTGAAGTCCTGAGTGCAACCAAGAGGGAAGAATTGGGACAGGTGGATCTCCAGACCGTGAGGTGGCCATGGATTCTCTGCACTGGATTGTTAGATGGGGTGCAGTGAGAGAGAGGATGGCAGTGCCCGGGGAGTGAGTCTCCCCTGGAGCTTTCTGGGCCTTAAACAACTCCCTTCTTGCCCTTTCTCTCTAGGAGGCTACTGCATGCCCCCAGGACCACATGCCCCCATGGGCTGTTACCCCCCAACTGGCCCCTACGCCCCTGCAGGAGGCCAAACAGCAACCGTTCTAGTGCCATCGGGGACTGCAACCACTGTGACGGTCCTGCAGGGTGAGATCTTCCAGGCTGCCCCTGTCCCAACAGTGTGCCCACACTGTCAGCAGGCTATCACCACCAAGATCACTCATGAAATTGGCCTCATGAACTTTCTGCTGGGCTTCTTCTGCTGCTTTATAGGGTAGGTGGGGGGCAGCTGTGAAATCTGTGTTCGGAGCGGGGGGGGCGGAAGAGGGTGCTTGCTTCTGTAAGCCAATCCTGGCATCTGGGCTTTCCGACAGACCTGTCTTGTGCACTCAGAGTGGAGGAAGGGGGGATCTGGGGCTTCTGCAGGATGGGTTGCTTTGCCCCTCTGACCCCTGCAGGAGTGCTGTGGATGCAAAGGGGCCACCTCCTGCCCCTCACGGTTCTCTTCTCCCTTCCAGGTGCAACCTAGGCTGCTGCTTCATCCCATGCCTGATAGATGAATTTAAGGATGTGACCCATACCTGCCCCAACTGCAAGGCCTACATCTACACGTACAAGCGCATGTGCTAGCAGGGCCTGCTGAGCTGGGAGACCTCTGCTGCCGCCTCCTCCTGCCACTGGTTTGACTTCCCCATGTGCAGTGCTTTCCTGCTTAATGTCTTCCCTTTCTTCCTTCACCCAGAGAGCTTTGGGGGGCTGTGGTGCCTCCAAGGCTGCCCAGGGATCTGCTGGACTGGCTTCTGGGAGGGAGATGAGGAGGGGAAGCTGCGCCAGACGGGCCTCTTGCGTGTGTGTTGATGGCTGTCCTGCCCCCAAGACAAGGAGCTCCTGGTGCTTGGCTATGGCCAGCCTTCTCTGTGCGGATGCCTCACCCGCTAGAGCCCGGCCAAGCAGTGATGCCTTGACCACTAATCTGCATCATGTGGAATGAGAAGGAACAAAGTCCGTGGATGCGCTTGGCTTTTTTTTTTATTTACACTTTTTATTAAAGATTTTAAATACAATACAGGTAGTCTTTGACTTACGACCATTCATTCAGCGACCATTCGAAGTTACGACGGTACTGAATGAAGGGACTTACAACCAGCTGTTGCATCACCCCTGCGATCATGTGATCGATCTGGGTGCTTGGCAACCTGTTAGTACTTAAAACCAGTTGCCAAGCGCCCCACACTCGTGTGATCGCCATTTGCAACCTTCCCTGCCAGCTTCCCCAGAAAGTCAATGGAGAAGCCGGCACGGAAGGTCGCAGGTCACTGGGGTGAGTCTCCCGCCCCTGTCCCTCTGCACTCACACTGCGTTGGCCACTCGCGCACCCTCTCTGATCAACATGGCGCCTCTTGTGCATCTCCACATCCCCCCGCGCACCCTTCCCAATCTGTGCAGTGCATCTTGCACACTCTCCTCACAACCCCACACACCCTTCCTGACCCACACTGCACCCCCACACATCCAACCCATGCAGTGCCTGTCATGCACCCCGTGCACCCTTCCTGACACCCCCCCCACACGCCCTCCCCAACCCGCAGGGCACCTCTCTTGCACTCCCATGCACCCTTCCCAATGTGCATGGCGCCTCTTGCGTACCCCATGCACCCTGTCACTCCCTCCCCACTTACCTGGCTGCCATCCTGGGACTTGCAACTTCCTGTTGGTTTCTTCACTGACTTTGGTTGTGGGAAGCCAGCAGGAAGTTGCTTTGCTTAACGACCTGCGATCCTCGCTTAATGACAGCAACTGGGATTGCTGGGATTGCCGGGATTGCCTTTGTTAAGCAATGCAGACGCGCTTTATGACGACTTCTCTTAGTGACAGAAATCCTGCTCCCAATTGTTAAGTCAAAGACTACCTGTAGTAAAAGCAAATACAAATTAAACTGAGAAAAAGAGATACAAAGAATAAAAAGTGCAAAGAAAGGAAAAAAAATAGGAAAAAAAAGGAAAAGTAGAATAAAGAAGAGACTTCTAGTTTCCATGACAAGTAAAAGCAAATTGGATAACTCATCACCCCCTTTATAAAGTTACGCATATCTCTTCTTCGCATAACCCATCCCTTCTATACATAAAACCATAAATCATAAACTTTTCAGTCCTGGTGTTAGCAAACAGTCCATAAAGAGTTACCAGAGCTTTATAAAAATATGTATTGTTTTAATCTTGATCAAACAAACCAACTGTATATATCCTTTCTTTTACTTCTAACAATCTTGATTTTTAATTCATTCAGATGTTGTCCTTTTTTCCGTTGCAAAGACTTCTTCGAGGCTGTAACAGACTTCTTTTGTAAATCCAGTGGAAAGTCATTATCCAGGTCATTGTCTTGGCTTGTCTTTTGTGTTTCCCTTTTGATTTTCAAAGCCAATTTCTTTTGTGTACCCAGTAAAGTCTTTATCTTGGCTTTATCTTGTAATCCACATTTCTTCCTGTCATTTGAATTTCCCATTTGACTGCCACGTCTATTTTGTAAACCACACTTTTTTTTACCCAATATTCTGATTCCACTATTCCTGCCTCAAGCAAAATTTGTTTCACATCTATCGTTCCTTCATTAACATCCTTTAGACCTACGGTAGTCTATCCACAGAAGCAGACATTGTTACTGATATTGTTGATATTGTGGCTACTAATTTCTGGCCACATTCTTCAAAGATCTCCTTTAATATTTTAAATGTTATAGTGTTTTGCATCATTTTGTAAATCCCAATCTTAAAGGCAAGTTTTTTTCTTTTTTGCCTGGACTTTAGTCCCCTCTAGTGTCCAATTCAAATTATAAGGTCTGTTACCTCTATTATGATTTGCAGTAGTCAAAATAATTCTGGTTCTCACAAAAAGCTGTTTATTTTATATATAGTTAATTCCAAAATCTTAAAGTGAAAGTTTCAATATTCTAAATTTGTTCGGACCCTTGATTAGTTTATGACTTTCTTAGTTCAAAATCTTGTTTAGTTTTTTACAATTTATTCCAAGTTCTTAAAATTGTAGTTAAGTTTTCTTTGGTTCAGGAAGATACATTCATCAGGTGACTTTTCAGACTTGTCATTCCAAAGAACTCTAATAGCCTTAAGATATTTAAATAAGCAATTTCCAAAAGTGATTAGAAGCAAGGTTAGCGAACTTAGCATCCTTTAAAAGGCGTCGCCCACAGTCCTGACCTTGATGATGAATCCCTTCGTCTCCCAGCACTCGTGGGCGATCTCCCGTCCTTATCCAGAGAGGTTCCGGAGAACCAGTCTGTTGTACTCACCAGTTCTTCAGTCTTTGCCGCAGCTGTCGTCTCTGCTCTCCCCAGAGACGTGTTTAGCTCACCATTCCTCCCCCGGAAGCCCAGTGCTTTTCTGACTGCCCTTGGTGTTGCGGAGGTCTGCCTTCCTAGCAAAGGGGAAGTTTAAAGGCGGCATTCTCTTTAATCCGTGTTGGTGGTTCCCATGTCTATGATTGCATTTTGCACTTTCGAAGAGGCTGTTTGTTTCTGGACTCCACACAGCTCCCTGCGCTTTGTAGATTGGGCTCCAGATCTGTTACGGCCAGGCCAGCAGTGGAGGCCAGACTGCCCTCGCTTGCTGGGGCTGTGCCTGCAAGAGTTGCTCAGAGACCTCAGGGTAGAAGAAAGAAGCGCCCCAGCCAGTTTGGGGGTGTCCCTTCTGTGCACCGTGCAAGCAGTGAGAGCTGGTCTCCCATCATCTCTCCTCTGCTTCTTCGTTGCTTGTCTGAGCCAGCTCTCTCCCCTTGGGCGGCCTTGGCTGGACGTGGATCCTGTCTGCCTGTCAGAGACGTGCAGGCGGCCCAGAGGTAGCCCCCAGGTGCTTTGGCTGCAGGTATTCTCTGCCCCACCACTCCAAGCCAACCCTGAGCCAGAAGAAATGTGCTTGTCCCAAGTTCCCTTTTGTGGCTGCTTGTGTTTTGGGTACTAAACTTAATAACTACTGTATGGAAATGTGAAACTGTTTGCACACATACACTCCATTTTGCACTAGTCCTGCTAGAAAGCCCTTGTTTTGCACTGATGAGCTAGGGTGCACAGGAGCTCGAGGCTTGCGATGGGATGGCAGGCGGTTGGTCTGAGTCCCTGGCTAAATTCTCCAGATGGGTGGCCTGAACTAACTTGTCTCGAGCATGTATGCCCCTGGGTGTGGCACTGCCCAGGCACCTGTTCGCCCAAAGGCTGCCACACTGAGGTTGCAGAAGGCAGGTAGGCCTGGGCTGGGCTTAAGGGCTTTCAAAGGCCTTTGGAACCAGCAGGGAATTCTCATCCTGTTCTTCAGAAAAATCTGTCAAAGCTCTTCTGTGTTTGTAATCAAATAAAAAGAATGACCCTCAAGGCTGCGTGCTGTGCATTGGGGAGGTATGTTGGGGTATAATCTAGGGCCTGGGCCTGGCTCTGGGGGCGGAGTGGAAGTGGCCCCACTCCAGTCACCGAGGGAGGAGGAATGGGGAGACTCCTTCAGGTTTTATGCAAGGGGGGCAAGGACCAAAAGTTACCTGGAGCTCATCTTGCCCCTCATTTCAGGACAAGAGAAATTGCCCTTCTCTTACTCTCAGTGGGCTGCGGGCAAGACGCTTAGGTACCCTCGTGCCAGGGAAGATATTCATGAGGCAATTTATCAGGTGAGCAGGACGATTGCCCACAGTCTAGAAAGTGCTTTCCCCAAATCAGGCAAACCACAAACTAAAGTATCAATTTTATTGTGTCAGAGGCATCACCATAATAAATTACACGAAAATTAAACCGTTACCACTTCCCATATGTACAAGTCAGAGACCCTGCCTACAACTAAAGGAGAGTAGCGTATTCTGCACCTGGGTAAGAGGGCTGCCTGCCCGCCCCCACATGCCCTCCCTCCACGAAGCTCAAACCATTCAGGCCGTGCCCCCCAAGCCAAGGTTCCCTGCTCAATTCTACCCCGAACGGTTTGGACACACAGGCGTTCGTACACTGTGGATTTGCATTTAATGGTTCCTCAATTAAATCCGGCATTAAAAGTCCACTTCTGTCAATAGGGAAAAGCAGCAATTTCATCAAGCAGGTGCCAACGGGAAGCTGGTGCCCAGCCTCACATCACGTACCAGGCCGCAATTCCGGCAGTGACTGCAATGCAGGCCGCCAACACCAGCTGGATGGTAGGTTGCTTCAACGCGGCCAAGGCGAGGTGGCAGGGGCAGGCAGGGTCCTTGGGGCCACCTGAGAAAGAAAAGAGGAAGAAAAGGACCGTGAGACGCAGCACAGAGCTGATGAGGAACAAGGGAGAAGCCTGGGACCTACCGAGCTTCGTAGCGTAGTATGGGCACTTGCGCATGTCTCCTTTCCCATCGTGTGCTGGGAGGCCGCCATCTTGGGCTTCTTCTGTTAACAAAGCCCCAATCTTGTCCAGCTCCTCGAAGACCTGCGGGCAAAGTCCCCGGCTGCCGTGAACCACAGCAGCGGTTGCTACGGGTGCTCCAGCTCGCCTAGGCCCAACCCTTCTGGGCTGCTTCTCCCGTGCCTTGGGCCCAAGCCAGAAGGCGCTCCAATTACCAGTGAGGAGCTCCGCAGCTGTAACAGCTTTGGAGACCGGGTGGGCCGCTGGGACTGGCCTCTGCAGCAGAAAGCCTTGCTTTGCCGCTTGGAGGGAAGCTGCAGGCTTGCCCCTAAGGGGGGGTCAGAGCAGGAGGCAGGCAGCAACCTGAGGCCGCAGAACTGTTGCTGGGCCTGTGAGCCTTGCTGCGAGAGATGTGCCTCACTTTGGGCCTGCACATAAACCTGAGGCTGGCCCTGCTGGCTGGTTGGGCCCTTACGGATGTGAGCCGAGGAGGAAGAAATGGGTCCCACTCAAGAGAGCAATTTCAGGCGCCCAAAAGGCCGGCCTCGCAGGGTTTGGAAAGGGAAGGACCTGGCCCACCCAGCCCCAGAAGGATGGAACTGGGCAGGGGCTGCTGCAGCCAGCCCCCTTAAACCCAGCAGCCGCCCACCTGCATGTTGAATTCAAAAGCTTTGTTGGCCTCCTTGACGATCCTCTCCTTGGTTTCCTTGGACACCTCCAGAGCATTGAGCCGGGCTCGGTAGAACTGCTTGAACTGCTGTGGGTTGGAAACGTTTTCAAACGTGTAGAAGTTGATCCCCTCGCCAGTGCTTGGCAGCTTCAGTGCTCGCTGGGCCACCTTCTTCAGCACCTGACCCCCAGAAAGGTCCCCCATGTAGCGGGTGTAAGCATGAGCCACCAGAAGCTCCGGCTCATGCTGTCCAACATGATGGATGCGGTCCACGTAATGCTGAGTGGCTTCTGAACACTGGATCTTCTCCTCCCAGCCTTCCCCATACAAATACTCCAGGTCTCTAGCCAAGGCTTCCTTCCGGTGCAGCTCCGAAGGGAAGTACAGAGGGGTAAAGCTTGGCTGGTCTTTGTTGTGCTCCATCTCTTCCTCCAGCGCGGAGTATGTGAAGTAAAGGGCCACGGTGCCCAGCTGCAACAGAACAAAGGAGCCATGAGGCTCCCGATCCACCCAGCTCCTCTTTCCCCTACCCGCCCCCTGGGAAGCAGTTTCTGTCCACTTATCCCAGGGCAGCAACGTGAACAAGCTGTTTTGTATTAAGCCAGTCTGATGGATTGCGGTGCCCAAGGCTCCCGTGCTCTCCTGAGCCAACGCGTCCGAGAACAGCAACATCCCTCTGCTTCAGCGAAAGAAAGAACAAACACCTCCAGGTTTGATCCGTCTAGGACGGAAGGAGGTTTCGTTTTTGGTGCTTTGTAAGTCCAAGAAACGACACAAATCCAGTGAAGAAAAAAGATCTCCTGAGAGAAGAAGGAAGCTAGGGAGGGGGGACTCCGGAAAAACCCACCATCTTGTGCCACAGACAGGGCTGTTCCTCTCCAGAGACGGGTTTGTCGAACAACACGGGTTAACTGGTCTCCTCCCTCCCACCCGGAACCAAGAGGCCCAAGAACGGGACAAAGCAGGACGTACCTTGAAGAGCTCCCTCTTGATGCGGCCTTTCAGGAAATCTTTGACGAACTGGGTATTCTCGGCACGGTCGTGCGCCTCCTTGGTCCCTTCTTTCAGCAGCTCAGACAAGTCTGTGGGGCTGTGGAGAGACCGCGGTGGGGGCAGGGAAAGAGGCAGGCGGCTTCAGCTCAGATCCTCGACAGGCCGCAGGCCAGGCGCTCGCCTCTGGGGAGAGGAAGCTTT